TCTCTGAAAATTTTAAGTCACAGTTTAGTCCAAAAAAGATTTTCATTGTTTTCAAATAAATTACCATGGAACTACTGTAACTAGGTTTCAAATGTGAGGCTTTTAAATCTATACATGAAAAATTATTTTCTTTTTTTGGACTTCAATGTTAAGTATTTAAATAAAAACCCTTAGTTTACTACTCCCCAAACTAAATCCAACATTTTTAGGTGTAGAAAAATTAGCAATTGTGCAATTAATAGACTAAGTTCAAAAGCTTTGCCAGAAACCAACTGCTGTCTATTGAATTTCAAGGAAGCCTATTTATTGTACATTAAATTTTTAAAAAGAACTCATCTACCCTCTCATTTCAGCACTTTCTCAACTTTACCATTACAATCAACAATATAACTGAGCAGTCAAGTCTTCCAGACCAATAACATCAGAATTTATTTTTAACTCCTGACTCCTTCCTAAATATTCCCCTTCAATCCGATCCAAAGTCCTGCCAGTTCTTCATTCACACTGTCTCTCAAATCTGTTTTTATACCATTTTCACATTTTGCTTTACTTTCCTTGATTCACAACATACCCTTACTATCTCCCTAAAAGGGCTCTAATGCCTCTACTCTAATCAGTCCATCAACTTGGCTGCCCAAATTATCTTCAAATATCTTGAGCACCTACAGCAAATTCCAATCTCTCTTGAATCTCAACCTCTTACAGGCCTTTTCTGCCCTCCATCAGCTAACGTTAACACATTTCTCAAGTCCCATCTCTTATTTTCCTATTTGGTCCCTCTGAATTCAGATTTACCAATTTGCTGATAAATACAAAATCACTTATCTGTCATACAAAACCACCATGTCTATGCCTCTGTCCATTCTTTCCATTTGGAATCCTTAACGTTTGTCTATCAATTCAACTTAGTGCCTCCTTTAATACCTTTCTTAAAATTAAAACACACCTCTGCAGGAAGTCTTCTCTCTCCAACCCTTCTACCTTGCCCCTTTACTGTGTGAACAAAGCATTCTATTTGTATTCATAATCTTGCAGTCATCATGCTATTGTTTCATATTTTGTCCCATAACCTGTCTCTAAAACTAAATGATAAGCTTTTGAGGTTAAGGACCATAACTTTTCAGGTATCTCTTCTAACAGGGGTCCTTTAGAACATAAAACTCTTAAGAAACACTTAACTACTCCTTTCTTCTAAATGTCCTTAAATCCTCTTCTAAAATGTCCTTAAAATCAAGGTTGTCATAAACACTTAAGTAGCATTGAAGTCCAACTCTTTAAATGTTAAGTTGACCTATATAGTGATAAAAAATTAAACATTTTACCCTACACACTTTACAAAAGTTACTCTATTCTCAGTCAATACCCACTACCGAGAATTAAGGAGTCATCTTCAAAGAAAATCCTGAAAACAAAATGAGAAGTCCAAAATTTTAATATAAGCTATTATATTTTGCTCTCTGAAACAGATCTAACAAATTACCTAAAATTGATTTTGAGTGGTATTAAACTGTATTGCCAAGATGAAAACATACAAACACTCCAGTACCACAAGAACCTCTTAAGTAGCTATTATAAGATTTGCTTCATCATAGCTGAAAATTACCCAGAATTTTAAAATATTCCTTCCACATGACCCCACGATGTGTTTAGAAAGCTTGGCTCTTCCCTGAAAGATGCATTAGTTTCTTTCTTCACATAACCCTGCATTCTGCACTAGCTCATAACCAAAAAAAAAAAATTTTTATTTCAAAAATAATCTCTCATTCAGCTATCACCTTAAGCTACCCATTTCAAGCAAGTTCCAAAAGCCAACATCAACTGAAATACTGAGTTCGATTAGAAGTGATCAATCATTTTATGTTGCTAGAGAATATAATTAATTTCACGTAACAGCTATGGTTTTTGTTTTGTTTTGTTTTGTTTTTTGGTAAACTCAGTTCTTCAGATCTCTACTTCTAGGCAAGGAAGTAGTTTTTATTTGCTCTCATCATTCCCCTTTCTCCATATCTAAGGAAACAATGTAGCTATTTTTGTCAAATTCTGGCAGAATGTTTAAATAAACTGTCATTACCACATAAACACATCCACAAATAGATACAATAGAATATTGGATACTTAGTATATACACCAAACCCCTCAAGAAGCCAAACTTGTCAGCACACATCTGGAACAAGAGTCAGTCAAGCAATAACCTTAAACGCAGCTCAAACACCCCTATTACATCGAGGATCACAGACATCTGCAAAACTTTTGACAGAAAGGCCTAAATCCATATTCTTACTACTAAATACAGTTTCGTCTAAATGTGACAAGACTAGTGCAAGAGTATTTTTAAAAGTCTAAAACGGGCCCCAGAACTCTGGATCATTTAACAAGTACTGAATGCAATGGCACTCCAAAATTGAACTTAAATGAGGAGTCAGTGACAATTAACATTCAAGTAAGTATTTGGCAACATGACACTACAAACCTCAATCAAAACTTGGACCTACTTTCAAGTTACCTTTTGATCAAACGTAAAACTACATAGTGTTAGACTGGTAATGTCTGAACAGGAAGGTTAAGAAGTAACATATTAAACCACTTATCCCATGTAAAACAACGCATGTGGAGGTACCACTGCCACTGGGTATCTATCAGCCCCCACAGCCCCTTCTAAAGGGAGTAAATCAATGCTCGCTTCCAAACGCAAATGCTTGTTATTGAGCAAGTTCTCTAGATTGCGAACAAATACTTTGTATAGTCACACAGGCAAGAAACAAATGTTAGGAGACTGTGACATTTAGTCTCTCTATTAAGCATACGAAACTATGATAACCTGAGACTTGAGCTAACTAAAATTACCCCTTATTCCAAAAGATACTCTGCAAATGTACACAAAGGTTTATGAATCAAGTCCTGTCCTCTTTATTCAAAAGGATGAGCAAGTAAACAATTCCATCACTACTTTAACATAGAAATACTCAAGCACTCAATAAAGCTAACTAACAACAGCAGGAAAAATGTAAGAAAAGAAGTTTCTAATCAAATCATCCAAATAAAAAAGCATATTCTCTTAATTCAAGGTTAATGAGACCGGGAGAGGGGGTGTGGGAGAAGAGGCCACTGCCTCATTGACTATAAACAGGTTTTTTGCCCTTTTCCATTACCTCTGATTGTTGTAGCAGTAAGTCTAATATTTTATTCTATTAAATAAGGTTTTTATTTTAAGGGTGAGGTGGAGAGGGGGTGTAAAATAAAATCAATACTCACTGCTAACTTTCATGCTGCCAAAAGCTGAAGGCTGCTGCACTGGCTTGCAGCTCTCCGCAAAGGAGGTGGTTCTGGGCCGCCCTGACATGGTCACTCTCTTTCCGAATCACCTTCTTTTCCTTCCTTCCTCCTTTTCTTCCTTTTGTTTTATGTTGGGGTGCTAGGTTAATGATAAATGCAGCATTAAGTTCTTCCACAAGAAAAAGACTTCGTCCTCTTGGCTTTCCACCCCTTTTTTGTATAGCTATAAAAAAAAAACGATCGATGTATTTCTCCTTCAAGACAGATCGTTAGGGATATTTAACATATAGATGATTTGGGTCTGGGGAAAAAACACAATTCTTTCCCCTCCCTTTCCTTAGAGAAATCCTTAAAAAAAAAAAATCACGTGAAACGGGGGCAAATACTTGATTGAAAATAAGTACTTGGAATATTATATTTTCCTCGGGGATTTTTTTTCCGAGTCAATGAAGAAGGGAAGCGGCGGAAGGATCACGAGTCTCACGCTTGAAAAGAAGGGGGGATGGGGAGAAGGGAGGGAGAGGGAGGGGGTGGCTCGGAGATGCGACGGGAAACGCTGCGGCTCCGGCCGCGGCGGGATTCGGCGGGCTGACGGCTGGGGCCACAGAACTGAGGGCGGCGGAGTCGCAAATCGGTCAGCGGCGGCTGGTGGCGGCGGCTCCTCTCCTCATTGCGCCAGGAGCAGCTGCAGGCGGCGGCTGGATCCAGCGGCCATGGCGGCGGCGGCGGCGGAGGCAGCTCCCTTCAGACCCCAGGCAGCGGCTCCTCGACTGCTCCCCATACGCCGGGGACATGGGAACCCGGCAACCGCTTCCGTCCCTCGGGGCCCCCCTCCCCCGTCCACGGCACCAGCGCGGCCGTCCTCCCACCCCTCGCCTCTGCTCGGTGCCCTCTCAGGAAGTGTCCGCGCTTTGCCCCCAGTCCGGAGCCCTGTCAGCGGCTGCGGGGCCGGCTCCTCCTCGCTTCCTTCCTTCCTTCCTTTGTCACTCGGCCCGGGCGGCGGCAGCGGCGGCGGCGGCGGCGGCACAAGCCCGCATTCGCCCGGGTCGGGGGCTGCTCTGTGTGAAGAGCGTCGTCTGCGCAGCCGCCTAGCTCTTCCCCCTCCTCCTCCCCCGTCCTCCTCCTTCCTCCCCCGCCCAGCCTCACACAGCCCAGCGCCCCGCCGCCCTCGTAACAGGCGTCTGGGAATCGCCGGCCGAGCCCCGCGCCCGCCCGCTTCGGCTGGGGAGCCGAAGGCCGAGTAGAGCCAATCACGGAGGTAATTTGTTTTCGACTCCTCCCGGAAAAAGCCGATTGACCTGAGGAACCAATTAGAAAATGTCACTGGAAATCCACGCCCCAGGAGCGGAAAATGTCGAAGATAGCCGAGCGAGGTGGGTTCGCCTGATTCCGTGGCCGGCGAGAGGAGAAATTCGACAATGGCAGCAGCGGCCAATCAGTCTCCGGCCCTCACGAAAAAGCTTGAGGAGTTAAGGAAGGTGAAACCCGGAGTCTCTGGTGAAACCGCACGGCTGGCTGCTGCAACCGCTTTGTAATTGGCCAGAAACTCCTCTGGGAGTGTACCTCCCTCGGTGATTGGTGAAGGGAAGAGGGCTTCCGAGGACAGTCTGGCCACTCAGAACGTCTCCTCCCTCGCCGAGGTGGGGAGAAGAAGAGAGCGAAGGGAGGCCGTCTATAAAGCGATTTCTCATTGGCCTGAAGCTTTGGAGCTTGAGTGGGGGCCAAAGGGAAAGGGAATGAGGCCGAAACCCGTAGCGGTAGCCAATCGGCACTCACTGCCGTCCAATCGCAAGACCTAGCTGCAGTGTGATTGGCTTGCGGCCTGCGGCGTCCCGGGAGCCGGGAGAAGCCCGACTGGGTCGTGGCTGACGCTCGGACGACCTGGGTTGTAGCTGCTTACAGCTAATGTACAAACCACAGCTAGGGAGTACGGGACTTCCGCGCGGCCGGTCCGAAACTTCTGCGGTCAGCGGGGCTAGGGTCAGACCGTTCAAGCGAACAGAGGGCTTAGGGACTCCCCCCACCCACCAGAGGCTCTGGCAGCACGGCTAATTCTCCGAGCCCGAGGTTCCCCTCCTCCCCGGGGTAGTGCGTCCGGAGTGCCGGCGTCTTCCCCGAAAGGGCCAGACGTATTCAGGGCATCTCCCCTCCTGGGTCGAGTAGCTAGACGCTAAAGTGGGAACAAAGCTGCCAGAGAGGCAGCGCCTCTGGGTGGACGCGCCCCGCCCAGCTGCGGGGGCCATCGATAGAGTGAAGCCGCCTGCGCCTAGTGAGCGCGGCCTGGCCCGGCCTTCTGGAAACGCCCCTGAGAAATGAGCTCATGTTGGATGCGCGCGCTCCTTGGGCGCCACTGCCCCGTGCAAGGCGAGCTCCAAGAGCAGGTGAAGGGAAATGCCGTCAGGCCGGATATCCTGAATCCTCTGAGGAAACCGAGTAAGAATAGCCCTTAGGAGCTTTCGGTCCTTTGGAACTAGGGTGATCTGTAAGAATATTGTTTAAGTAGATTTCACTTATAGACAAGTGTTCATTCTACAGAGAACCAGTTACTTTGGTTTGCTGAGGACAGTGAGGTATGGCAGCGTCAGGATAGCAGAAAAAGTGTAGTGAACAGTTAGCGTTCTGATTGTAATTCCGTAGCGCCTTGTAATTTCCATCTGCAGTCATCGCTTTCTGTTCAAATACTAACTAAATATCCATAGTTGATCAGATTACCTAGCTATTGCTTCAAAAAACTGATGAGGGGCTTGGGACAGAACAAAGTAAGCTTTGATGGAAGGTAGGAAAGGTTTTGATAGGGTTTGCAGACTCAAATGTCTACAGGAGCCAAAAGAGTAAAGCAAATGGGTAAAACTGGCCTGGTGTAAGACAATGGGGAATAATAAGGAACGTTGCGAATTGGAGGGTCCGTGCTGTAACTGAAGGGAGCAGCTGTTCAGCTCTAGCAGATTGTTTACCTCAGGAATGTGGGTCCAGTGTTAAAAGATAATCTATGTTTTTTCCCCCAAGAGAAACCGAGAAGCTGGATTTTTGCATGAAAGCTCTCAATTTTTAAATGTTGGCAAGAATATTCTAAAACCCTGCGGACCAAACTCAAAACATCTTGGGGTAGATGTGACCAGCATGCAATCAGTTTGTAGTCTCAAACCTGAGCAAGGTTTTATAAGCCAAAAGCAGTAGAGACTCTTGTTCTGTGCAATTAAGAGAACATGAGGTCTCTGGATGTCATAGAGGTGGGTAAAGAATGAAAAGCAAACTCAGTGCATAGCAACTTTGTCAGACCAATGTTGTCTCTCCATGGCTATTATGAAAGACCTTTGCCTCAAGTCCCTAAAATGCTGTTAGGCAAAGCTGCCTTTGTCTTTACTCCCTGCCTTGCTCTTTACTCCCCATTCCTACTCCCAATTATACCAGCAGGAAAGTGAACAGATGTTTAGGTTATACAAACTGGAAACATGGCTATTCTTTTGTATATAATAAAGTACAAAAACAGTCTACTTTAGGGTTTTGATTATAGTAGCTTTACTGTTGCTCCCTTCAAATACTTTGAACTGATGCTGTTTTAAAAATGACCAAGAGAGGGAAATTTTATAGGAGAAAAAAATTTCAGGCTAAAATTAGGACTGAAGGAGGGAAAAGGTTGTGAGAAAATACAGAACTACTGAAATTAACATTCAGTGGTTGTTTCTCTGAACTTTCAAACTCTTGACCTTCCCTCCTGCTGTCATCCACTTACAGTTTATAATAACTTGAATAGTTATTATAGTGTGCTAGACACTGTTAAGTGCTTCACACATGGTATCTCAAATTTATCGTAACCCAATGATGTAAATTATAACCTCTGCTTTTCAGATGAAGAAACTGAGGGCCAGAAAGGTTTACTAATTTACCTAAGGTCCTCAGAGCTAAAGTAGCAGAACCGAGATTCTGATCCCCTATATTTAAACTGTACTTCATATTTCTCACATGCCCACCTCTCCTGGTATATCTGGCTTTATCTTAAAATCTTAGCCTTATGTCTTGAACTTAGTGTGCCTGGTCATAAACATATCCCCTAGTTTGGTTTGTAACAGTTTGGTTTCTTCAAGGATCCATCAGATGGTCCCTTGCAGAGATCAGGAATTCTGAGCCACAGTAATAATAAACCAAAGGATTAGAAAAAGATAAATGTAGGAAAGCTAAGTGGTGCAGAACAGGGTAGTAATGTAATAGGAAAAAAAAAAAAAAGAAAGGTTGCTAAGCATGTCGACAAGATAAGTTATAAATGAAAATGCACACTGAACTGACTTGTACTTGAATAAACACTTTGCACTTAGAAAGTACAATTATGTTTTGAAGCTTAGGAAGTACTATTATGAAACTTCTGTTTTTACAAATGAGGAAAATACACACTAGAGTAAGTGACTTGCTCAAAGTCACTTGGCTGCATTTTTTATTAAAACAAGCAGAAAATACAGCAGGTTTAATAATGAAGGTATCAAATAGAATATGAGGTGCAGTTTATTTAGATGAATCCAGAGTCAACCATTCCCAAACAGAAGTCCACAAGCAAACTTCTAGGACCTCATTTACTTAGCCAGGACATATTAAATACCTAATTGTTGGATGCTGGTCTTCAAAATTTAGTAAGATATGGACTCTGCTCCGAACATGCAGTCAGATACAGTGAAATGGAAAAAACTTGTTTGGTAATGAGCCCTGGGGAAGTCCTGCAATATCAAGGTCAAAATGAAGATTAAGAGAAGAAAATAGATTTACGTTTATTGAGTGCCTGTTCAGTCCTCCCCCAAACCCCATATTAGCCCTTTTGTTAATATATTGGGGTGGGGGGTGAGCCATAAGTACATTGCTCAAGGTCACACAATTAGTAATGGCAGAGCTGGGATGGATTTACAACTGAGTCCATTTGAATCTGGCCTCTTTCTACTAGATCACTCTGCCCTCCATCAAAAAGTAACTATCCCATTTATGCAAAATTTTATACCTGTATGTATTTTATACGTAGATGACTAGAAGCAATAATTTTGATGGCATTTTGGATGATTTTACTGTCTCCATGCTTTCCAGTCTACCTTTCATTGTCTATGTTAAAAAAACACTTAAAAAGAAAAAACAAAGGTAAGACTGCAGGAAAAAACAAAAGTATTAACAGTGTGATAATATAAGCTGGTCACAGGGATGATAGTACAGCATGGAGAATATAGCCAGTGATTCTGTAACATCTTCCTATGTTGACAGATAGTAATGGCACTAGTGGGGGTGAGGATTTAATAGTGTGGGTAACTGTTGAACCACTATGTTACAGACTTGAAACCAATATAAGATTGTACACCAATAGTACTTCAATTAATGAAAAAAGCAGTGTGAATTTGCTCAATTTGATTAGGAGTTAACTGAAACTTACAGAGAGGCATCCTTGGTCAGTAACTTTGATACATGATCCACAGGAAAGATAGTAGCAGAAGCTAGATAGGCAGTTTTAAAGAGATTCAAGGAGGTGATTTCAGGGTTGAGCAGAAGAGAACTAGAAAAAAAGGGGCATCTTTAAAAACTAAAGCAGCAGCAGAAATTTGCTTCTCCTTAGGTAGGCTTTGATGCCAAAAGAGATTGGCCATTAGAGACACTCAGTAGACACTGTAAAGGGGTCAATTTATGTCAAACTAAGAGAGATGAAGTGACCTACGGACTGCACTAGAAATCATCAGCAGGAGCTTAATATGGCAGTGGTATCAAGAGCCATTTTAAAATTTGTACCCTTTGATCAATAATGAAAGTTAATTCATCCCAGACACTTTGTTAGTTGTTGGGACACATAACCCTTTATACTGTAGATGCAATTTTTCTCTCATGATGAGAAAACTGAGGAACAGAAGTAAGTTGTTCAAGTTTACACAGCTAGAAAGTGGTTTTCAAACCTAGAGCTTAACTTTTGTGCCCTATCCCTGAGATTTCCTCCTCAGAAAATCATCCAAAAGAAGCTTCCGTCAAATCCGTTTAGTGAGCATTGACTCAGGTCCATGTCTCTGAACATACAAAAGTATGAAGATGAATAAA